TCTTTTTTGATTGATGATAAGTGAGATGGTGTACATGAGAATGAAAAACTATGGTTTTTTGGCTCCTTAGAGAATGTCTAAATCCCAAAAAAATCCTATACATCATCTGATATCATGAGGGACAAATTTGTACACAATCTTGATGCAATGTACCTGTTAATTATGGTACATGGGGTTAGATTTTCGTGGCAAATATTGAGTAATTGCCTTAAACAATAGGTGTGAAACATTTTTTTTTTTATCATTTTTGGTTATGCCAAATATGGTGTTTTCTAATCATTTTCTTGAACATTGGTAATGTGTGTAAAATCAATATTCTTTGTTTTTAGCCGCTGTGTTATTGTTAATTTCATAACAGAAATGAACAATGAAAGCTAAATTTTTCTAAAATGTCTTATTGTATAAACTCATGGTCAATTAATTCTCTCCAACTTGAGAACGATTTAACGTAGTTGATGATGAACCAATTAAGGAACTAGTAACAAAATTTTTTCATAATGGAAAATGACTTAACAAACTTCATAACAGAAGCTACTTAATGAACTCTTTCTAACTACTTACTAGTAACACTAGTAACATATTTACTAACTAGTAGATTTTCTACTTTCTCACAAATCAGCATCATGATTTCTCATTATATCAGAATGATTCTTAAATTAATCTAAAAATTCACTATGATCTAACCAAACCAAAATGAATTATGAAGTCTATCTTTTCCCTCCCATTTCCTTCTAATGAACCATGGAGAAAAAGAGAGGCACGCTCCCTCTCCTTCCTTATGGGTTCTCCCTTCTGGCTGCTCTCATCCACACACTTCATCCTTGTGCAAACAATATTTTTATACTGCCTTTGGGTTCAATTAGCCACTGGATAACCAAATGTTTCCTCACACTAAATTACTCATTTGAGATTGCAGAATGCAAATTAAAGAGTGCAAACCATTCCATTTAGTTTTAACTTTTAAGCGGGTCAAAGAAAAGTTTAGTCTTAATCTGCAATAGTTATTATTTTTACAGAAAATTGAAATACACCCGACATCTTTTCTGCTAAAATTGGTGACTTTTGATTTGGGGGTTATCCAAGATGTTGCAGGGATGCATGTTTTCAGATTGGTGTGTATTGTAAAGACTCCTATAGTTCTATTGTGCCTTGTATTGAAATAAAAGATATAAAAATTGGTTTTCTAAGAAAGATGATAAAGCAAATTGCTGATGTTTAGGCTGTTACTGTAATTCTTATGGAGAAAAGTGAGAGCTGGATTGTTCTGAATTTATGGTTGAGATGAACCAGATTGTTGTTTCATTTTCACATAAAAGAAAAGAAAAGAAAAATACATACAACTGCAATTCTTGAAAATCTTGATACATATTTCTTTGTTTAATTTATGATAAAGTGAGATGGTGTGCATGAGAATGAAAAAGGTGAACAATCATCTATATTGAAAGGAATAATCAGTCTTTTGAAGTTCATGTGCTGTGTTTGCTGTGCATGATAAGCTTAGTTCAGCAAGTTTTTGCTTTAATTGTGACACATGCTTGAGGACTTGTAGACTATAGTGATTTTGTCTGCCTCCAAATGTGTAGATTGTAAGCAAAATCTTTTAATCATTATGCCCATTCCTGTCCTTCTCATATAGAAGGCTTACATTTTGTTTTTATTGCAGGAAGTTTATGTTGGAGAGTAGACTGGCTTTGTCCCTATACTGCAGGAGTTCCTTATCTTCAGACTATAAGGAATCAGAGGATTTACCATCAGCACCTGCGGCCTCAAATGGATCTTCTTTGTGCTCTGAAATGTCTCCTTTAAGAAGAGTAGTTGTTCCAGTACCTCCCTTCCCATTGAAGAGAGTGAAGTAGATATCCTTTCAGAGAGGCCTATGGTATTACCAGATGGGGATAGTTCTCTTCTAAATCCTGCAAAACAAGGAGATTCTTGGTATGTAAGTTTTAGTTTAGATCATCCAAAAATTAACAAAAGCTAAAACATTTTATGATGCCTAATCATTTTTTGTCTGAATTTTTCTATGTGTTTCAGTATTATGAGCAATTATCCTCCTAATTAATGCTGATATATGTGCACAAAGGATACCTACCCCTTCCCAAAAAGTAAAATGCAATATGCTTTAGATATTATGTGTAAGTAATGTGACCATATGTGTACCTTAACTCTGAAGATCTTCTGGTAAATCACTAATCCGATAATCATCAATGTGGTTTGCATTTTGATTATCATTTTTCTTTCTTCTTTTCCTCTTCCTCTTGTTCCAGCCCTCACATTCCTTCTCTTCTAGCAGCGACCATAGTAATGTGGTGTTCTCACTCATTATAGGGAAGCAAATAGTTTGTGTAGTATTGGTCACTAGGGAATAAAGCTTTGTCTGGTGTGGATGCTAAATGGAGAATTAGTGGTATTTATAAGAGGAAAACTAGGGTTTTTTTGTTTTATAGAGAATTTCTAAATCCCAAAAACGTCCCATACATAATCTGATAGCATGAGGGACAAATTTGTTACACAATCCTGATGCAATGTACCTGTTAATTATGGTATGCAGTGTTAGATTTTCTTGGCAAATATAGAGTGATTGCCTTAAACAAAAGGTTCTGATACATTTGTTTTTTTATCATTTTTTGTTATTCCAAATATGGAATTCTCTGAATGTTTTCTTGAACATTGGCAATGTATGTAAAATCAATCTCCTTAGTTTTTAGGTCTCTTGCTGCATTAATGTTCATTTCATAAAGAAATGATCAGCTCACGGTCAATTTAATTCTTGCCAACTTGAGAATGATTTAACACACTCGACAAGGAACTACTCAAGGAACTACTAACAGAATTTTTTCATAATGAAAAACGACTCAACGAACTTTATAACAGAAACTACTTAACGAACTCTTTCTAACTACTCGCTAAACTTTTTATAATGGAAAAGTACTTAACAAATTTCTCTAATAAACATCTGTTCTAATGAACCCTTCTTAACAGAAAACTACTTACGCTAACCAGATAACACTAAAAGTAACATTTTCTTATAACATATTTACTAACCAGTAGAGTTTCTAAGTTCTCGCAAATCAGCATCATGATTTCTTATCATATGTAGAATGCTTCTTAAATCAAACTAAAAATTCACTATGATTTAACCAAATCAAAATGAATAATGAAGCCTATCTTTTCCCTCCCATTTCCTACTAATGAACCACAGACAAAAAGAGAGGCACAGCCCTTCTCCCTTTCTATGGGTTCACCCTCCTGGCTCCTCTCATCCACACACTTCATCCTCATGCAAACAATACTTTTATACTTCCTTTATGTTCAATTAGCCACTGGTTAGCCAAATGTTTCCTTACACTAAATTACTCATTTGAGATTGCAAAATGTAAATTCAAGAGTGGCAACCATTACATTTAGTTTTAAGCTGGTTAATAAAAAGTTTACTCTTAATCTGGAATAATTATTATTTTTACAGAAAATAGAAATACACCCATTGCATCTTGTGCTAAAGTTGGTGACTTTTGATTTGGGGGTTACAAAGATGGTGCAGGGATGCATGTTTACAGTTTAGTGCTTATTGTAAAGACTTCTATATTCTATGTTGTCTTGTATTGAAATAGAAGATATAAAATTGGTTTTCTAAGAAGGAAAAGTAAGATGATAAAACACACGGCTGTTGATGTTTAGCCTGTTAAGGTAATTCTTAAGGAGAAAAACTGAGAGCTGGGTTTTTCTGGCTTTGCGGTGGAGATGAACCAAATTGTTGTATGATTTTCACATAAAAGACAAGAAAAATACAAACAACTGCAATCTGTGAAATTCTTGATACATATTTCATTGTTTAATCTATGATAAAGTGAGATGGTGTACATAGAATGGAAAGGGGAACAATCATCTATATTGAAAGGAATAATCAGTCTTTTGAAGTTTATCTGCTATTTTGCTATGCACAATTAGCTAAGTTCAGCAATTTTTTGCTTTAATTGTGATACATGCCTGAGGACTTGTGTACTCCAGTGATTTTGGCTGCCTCCAAATGTGTAGATTGTAAGGAAGATCTTAATCATTAAGCCTATTCCTGCCCTTCTCATATAGATGCATTTTGTTTTTATTGCAAGAAGTACGTGTTGGAGAGGAGACTGGCTTTGCCCTTATACTGCAAGAGTTCCTTATCTTCAAACAATAACGAATCAGAGGATTCACCATCCGCACCTTCTCTGTGCTTCAGCATATCTCCTTTAAGAAGAGTACTGTTCCACAACCTCCCCTTCCCCTCAAAAAGAGTCAAGCAGATAACCTTTCACAGAGGCCTATGGCATTACTAGATGGGGATGGTTCTCTCTTGGATCCTGCAGAACAAGGAGATTCTTGGTATGTAAGTTTTAGTTTAGATCATGCAAAAATTAACAAAAGCTAAAACATTTTATGATGTCTAATCTTTTTTTGGCTGAATTTTTCTACATGTTTCAGTATTATTAGATAATCATCTTAGGCAATTATCCTTCTAACGAATGCTGATATATGTGCACAAAGGATCCCTAACCCTTCCCAAAAAGTAAAATACAATATGCTTTAGATATTATGTGTAAGGAACGTGACCATATATGTACCTTAACTCTGAAGATCTTCTGGTAAATCACTAATCCGATAATCATCAATGTGGTTTGCACCTTGATTATCATTTTTCTTTCTTCTTTTCCTCTTCCTCTTGCTCCAGCCCTCACGTTCCTTCTCTTTTAGGAGTGACCATAGTAATGAGTTTTTCTCACTCATTATAGGGAAGCAAATAGTTTGTGGGGTATTGGTCACCAGGGAACAAAGCTTTGTGTGGTGTGGATGCTAAATGGAGAATTTATTGGTATTTATAAGAGGAAAACTAGGGTTTTTCTTGGCCTTTAGAGAATTTCTAAATCCCAAAAAAGTCCTATTCATAATTTGATATTGAGGGGCAAATTTGGTACATAATCCTGGTACAATGTACCTGTTAATTATGGTATGTAGGGTCAGATTTTCTTGTCAAATATATAGATTGATTGCCTTAAATAAAAGGTTCTGATATTTATTTTTTTTTATTATCTGTTGTTATTCCAAATATGGAATTTTCTAAACATTTTTTTGAACATTGGCAATGTATGTAAAATCAATTTGTTAGACTCCGTTTACCATAGTTTTAGTTTTGGGTTTTTGGTCTTTATTTTTATATATTGAGTAATTAGTACTGTATTTAAATTAAATTTAATAAATTCAAATTTTTATGATAAATTTTAATTTCTAAATATAGTAATAGTTAATAAATATATAAAAATAAAACCCAAAACCATACTAGACAAAAGCTTGGATTTTAGGTTTCCTGCTACGGTAATGTTAATTTCATAACAGAAATGATCAATGAAAGCAACATTTTCCAAAATGTCTTATCAGCTTAGGTCAATTAATTCTCTCCAACTTGAGAACGATTTAACACACTTGACAAAGAACTAATTAAGAAACTACTAATGGAATTTTTTCATAACTGAAAACAACTTATCGAATTTCATAGCAGATGCCACTTAACGAACTCTTTCTAACTACTTACTAAACTTTTCATAATGGAAAAGTACTTAACGAATTTCTCTTATAGACATCTGATCTAATGAACCCTTCTTAACCGGAAATCTACTCACACTAACCACTAACCAGATAACACTAAATGTAACATTTTTTCATTAAGAACACTTGTAACATATTTACTAACTAGTACATCTTCTACTTTCTCATAAATCAGCATCATGTCTTCCTATTGTAGCAAAACACTCGTTAAACTCTTCACTATGATTTTACCAAATCAAAATGAATTATGAAGCCTACCGTTTCCCTCCTATTTCCTTCTAATGAACCACGGACAAAAAGAGAGGCACATGCACTCTCCCTCCCTACGGGTTCACCCTTCTGGCTCCTCTCATCCACACACTTCATCCTCATGCAAACAATACTTTTATACTGCCTTAGTGTTCAGTGAGCCACTGGTTAACCATATGTTTCCTTACACCAAATTACCATTTGAGATTGCAAAATGCAAATTGAAGAGTGTCAACCATTACATATGGTTTTAAGTTGGTCAAAAAAAAGTTCAGTCTTAATCTGCAATAGTTATTATTTTTACAGAAAATTGAAATACTCCCATTGCATCTTTTGTGCTAAAGTTGGTGGCTTTTGATTTGGGGGTTATCAAAGATGGTGCAAGGATGCATGTTTTCAGTTTAGTGCATATTTTAGAGACTTCTATGGTGATTTATATTGACATAGAATATATAAAAATTGGTATTCTAAGAAGGAAAAGTAAGTTGATAAAGCACACTGCTGCTGATGTTTAGGCTCGTAAGGTAATTCTTAAGGAGAAGAACTGAGAGCTGGATTGTTCTAGCATTATGGTTGAGATGCACCAAATTGTTGTCTGATTTTCACATAAAAGAAAAGAAAAATACAAACAACTGCAATCCTCAAAATTCTTGGGACATATTTCTTTGTTGAATCTATGATAAAGTGAGATGGTGTACATGAGAATGAAAAGAGGAATTATCATCTGCTACTCCATTCAACTATAGTAGTCCTACTTTATTTTTTGGACATAAATTTTATATGAAAATTTAACATATGATATAAATGATAATTAATTAATTTTTTTATCAAATAAAAACACTCAACAAGAAATACATATAGGAAAAAAAAATTTCAATTGTTATTCATATAAGTTGTCAAATGTTACTCTGAAATTCCTGTTCAAAATGTCAAAGAGTCAAACTAGGATACTAAAGTTGAACGAAGGGAGTATATTGGAATGAATAATCAGTCGTTTGAAGTTTATCTACTGTCTTTGCTGTGCACAAGTAGCTGAGTTCAGCAAGTTTTTGCTTTAATTGTCATAAATGCCTGAGGAATTGTAGACTCTAGTCATTTTGTCTGCCTCCAAATGTGTAGATTGTAAGCAAGATCTTTTAATCATTATGACTGCTCCTGTCCTTCTCATAATGAAGGCTTACATTTTGTTTATATTGCAGGAAGGTCCTGTTGGAGGCTGGTCTTGTCCCCATACTGCAAGAGTTCCTGATCTCCAGACAATAAGGAATCAGAGGATTTACCATCTGCACCTGCATCCTCAAATGGATCTTCTTTGTGCTCTGAAATGTCTCCTTTAAGAAGAGTAATCAACACACAACCTCCTTTCACTGTTGAAGAGAGTGAAGTAGATATCCTTTCAGAGAGGCCTACAGCATTACTAAATGGGGATGGTTCTCTCCTGAATCCTGCAAAACAAGGAGATTCTTGGTATGTAAGTTTTAGTTTAGATCATCCAACAATTAAAAAATGCTAACACTTTTAATGATGTCTAATCATTTTTTGTCTGAATTTTTCTGCATGTTTCAGTATTATTATGATAATCATCTTAAGCAATTATCCTTCTAATGAATCCTCATATATGTGCACAAAGGATCCTAACCATTCCCAAAATGTAAAATACAATATACTTTAGATATTATGTGTAAGGAACGTGACTATATATTTACCTTAACTCTGAAGATCTTCTGGTAAATCACTAATCCGATAATCATCAACGTGGTTTGCACCTTGATTATCATTTTCTTTCTTCTTTTCCTCTTCCACTTGTTCCAGTCCTCATGTTCCTTCTCTTTTAGCAGCAACCATAGGAATGAGATTTTGCTCACTCATTATACTGAAGCAAATAGTTTGTGTGGTATTGGTCACAAGAGAATAAAGTTTTGTCTGGTGTGGATGCTAAATGAGGATTTAGCGGTATTTATAAGAGAAAACTAGGGTTTTTTTGGTCTTTAGAGAATATCTAAATCCAAAAAAAGTCCTATACATAATTTGATTTCATAAGGAGAAAATTTGGTACACAGTCTTGGTACCATGCACCTATTAATTATGGTATGTAGGGTTAGATTTTCTTGGCAAATATTGAGTAATTGTCTTAAACAAAAGATTCTGATACATTTTTTTTCTATCATTTTTTGTTATTCCAAATATGGAATTTTCTAAAACATTTTTTTGAACGTAGGTAATGTATGTAAAATCAATCTTCTTAGGCTCTGTTTACTATGGTTTTAGTTTTGGGTTTTTGGTTTTTATTTTTTATATATTTAGTAATTAGTACTATATTTAAATTAAATTTAATAAATTCAAATTTTTATAATAAATTTTAATTTCTAAATGTCATAATAGTTACCAAATATATAAAAAATGAAAAATCGAAACCCAAAACCAAAACTATACCAGACAGAGGCTTAGTTTTTAGGTTTTCTGCTGCATTAATGTTAATTTCATCACAGAAATGATCAATGAAAGCAACATTTTCCAAAATGTCTTATTTAATCAGCTCATGGTAAATTAATTCTCTCCAACTTTAGAATGATTTAACACTCAACAAAGAACTAGTCAAGGAACTACTAACGGAATTTTTTCATAACAGAAAACAACTTATCGAACTTTATAACAGAAGCTACTTAACAAACTCTCTCTAACTACTTACTAAACTTTTTATAATGGAAAAGCACTTAATAAATTTCTCTTATAGACATCTGATCTAATGAACCCTTCTTAACCAGAAAACTACTCACGCTAACCAGATAACACTAAATGTAACATTTTTATTTTTCTTTTAAGAACACTAGTAACATATTTACTAACTAGTAGACTTTCTACTTTCTTGCAAATCGGCATCATAATTTCTTATTATATCAGAACACTCCTTAAAGCAATCTCTTCACTATGATTTAACCAAACCGAAATGAATTATGAAGCCTATCATTTCCCTCCTATTTCCTTCTAATGAACCACGGACAAAAACAGAGGCACACCCCCTCCCTCCCTACAGGTTCACCCTTCTAGCTCCTCTCATCCACACACTTCATCCCCATGCAAACAATACTTTTATACTGCCTTTGTGTTCAGTGAGCCACAGGTTAACCAAATATTTGCTTGTACTAAATTACTATTTAGGATTGCAAAATGCAAATTCAAGAGTGTCAACCATTACATTTGGTTTGAAGTTGGTCAAAAAAAAAGTTCAGTCTTAATCTGCAACAGTTATTATTTTTACAGAAAATTGAAATACTCCCATTGCATCTTTTGTGCTAAAGTTGGTGGCTTTTGAGTTGGGGGTTATCAAAGATGGTGCAAGGATGCATGTTTTCAGTTTAGTGCATATTGAAGAGAGTTCCATGGTGCTTTGTATTGATATAGAAGAGATAAAAATTGGTATTCTAAGAAGGAAAAGTAAGTTGATAAAGCACACTGCTGCTGATGTTTAGGCTCTTAAGGTAATCCTTAAGGAGAAGAGCTGAGAGCTGTATTGTTCTAGCATTATGTTTGAGATGAACCAAATTACTGTCTGATTTTCACATAAAAGAAAAGAAAAATACAAACAACTGCAATCCTTGAAATTCTTGGTACATATTTT